ATACATAATATAAAAATATACAGTATATAATAAATATTCAACAAGTATCCTAAATGCAATTAGTAATAATTAATTTTATGAGTTTGACTGCTTTCTGTCGGAAAAGCCAAAGGAGAACATGGAATTAAAAGCAGATCAATAATATGGCAACGAATTTCATGTCATGAAGTATTAAATTTCTAGTAGATTTTTGACTATTCACTGATAACTATCTATACAGACCACTTTGAATTCTAAATACCTTACTACTTTCACCAATCAGATTAAGAGAAGAAATTCTGCACAATCTGCTGTGTGACAGCTAATAAAATACTTTTTTGTTTCTAAAGACTTCATTCCCCAAATTAAAATTTAAAAAACAAACAAAAAAACATTTAACTGAACATTTAGCAAAGGTGCTTCAACTAGTACTGTGCCTTAAAATATCTCAAACTTATCTGTAGGAGTAAGATGAGGGAAATGCATTTTTTCATTAATATCTTATTGTATTCTTATGAAGGTTTACACAACCGTTTAGGTCCCCATTCAAAAATTTCTACACAAGTTGTTCAGTGACATTAATTACATTCTTCACAATGCGTGAACACTCTCCTTGCTTCCATCTGGTTGTTCCGTTTCCATTAATCTAGTATCCCTGCCCCCTTACATTCTCATCTTTGTTCTAAAGTAATTGTTGATGAATTGGACTCATATAGGTGATTTTTTTAAAGGAGCACATACTTATATGTGACACTCATTATTTTTTGAGCCAATTTGTTATTAAGCTACAAGGTGACCTCAGGGGTTAGTTTCGGTTCAAGGTCTGAAGAGTATCTCACGGCAATAGTCTTGGGGAGCCAAGGGAAATATTTTTTGTAAGACAGTGAGCCTTTCTTTATCTGCTTTTATAAAATCATTACCATCATTTAATGTGTACTTAATATAGTCTAGACACTGGATAGAATGCTTGAGACACAAAAAATATAAAATATGGTCTATGATTTTTTGATATTCATCATCTTCTAGAGAGAGCAAGAGTAACTTTACAAAGCATACACACAGGAACAATCGTAACACATAACCACTCACTTAATCGTTTTTCATCCAGCATAGGGTCAGGAGAATCCATATTGAGGAGTGCCTCTGCAGCCTCAATAGTTTCAATAGTTTCATCCCCATTTTGACAAGAAGCTTCAACTACATTTAAAGAAAAAATAAAATTAGCTACAAGACACCTGCTGCTCTGAAGCTCAGACTGCTGATCTCTTAACTAGACTATATCATTTAATAGTTGGGTTTATATACATACTTTGCATAACCACTGTGCCACCAGGGCTCACTGGAATGAATATAGGTCTCTATTAATCTCTCTTATTCCACTTCTCTATAATTAGTGAATTATCACTACCTCCAAGAAATATTAATCACAGTCACACATTATTAGAATCTGAACATCCTTTGATACTGACGGCTTTCTGGTACCATTCTTCTCTAAAATGTATTATGGAACATTAATTACCCTAGAATATGACTGATCCTAGTGTTTTTTTTTTTTTAATATTCTTTTAAAAATGGGTTATAAATGAAAAATAATCCAAGTACATCCTGGATACTGAAACATCTCTCTGCATCCAAGACCGATGCCCCAAATAGTGGCACAGTCAATTCCTGGATACCTTATAGCCTCTTAGCTCCAGGATCAGCATTAAGAAGCTAAAGGAAGAGCTACAAATGCCTTCCTTTCAGGGATAAATTCACCTCCTACCTCAAGGATTAGACACCCAGCTCAGTTAAGAAAAGCCCTAAGTTCTATATTTGAGTTATCTCGATGTGATGTTCATCATCTATAATCTCTTATACTTACTTGCTAGATTTCTCCATATTTGTGATAAAAATTACCTGGGCTCTTTTTTTAAAGTCTGGATGAAGACATAAAATCATGACTTTCAGATTCATGGTGGACTGACAGTATATCACTGAATATAAGTCTTTTAATTTTATACAAAGTTAAAAAGTGAACTTAAACAGCTCTCAAAGGTTCTTTTTCCCAATCAAAAGAATAAAAATGATCATTTCCACATTGTCCCCTCTCCATTCCTATTCAGTCAAAAAAGGAAAAAACATTTTCCGTTTCACTATTAAGACTATATCACCAGATATCCAAGAAATTGGTAGCTCTTTGAAATTTGGTTTAACTTTCCATTAGAATACTGTAACTTTTATTATTCTAAATAACTCCTTCAAACGAAAAACCAAACATGTTGCCAGCAAGTTGATTTCAACTCATAGCAACCCCACAGGACCCAGTAGAACTGCCCCAAAGGGTTTCCAAGGAGCGGCTGGTGGATCTGAACTGCCGATGTTTTCGTTAGCAGCCGAGTTCTTAACCACTGCACCACCAGGACTCCAAATACTCCTTAGATAATTCATGTTCTCTTTAGACGAGAGATCTCCAAGAACTTACAAAATTTTCAATTGACTCCAAGCTCTCAACTGACAATAATATTGAGCACCAATGTGCTATCCATTGGTAACTGATACACAGATACTGTCTAAGAAGATAATTAAGTGATTAATTTTGTGGTATATAGGAGACTGACTATAGATACTCGAAGAAATGTCACTACAAGTTAGGAAGCCTACCTGAAGAGATGGGCTTAGGTTGAGTCATTTAAGATAGATATTTAAATACTTTGAGAGGGTAATTAAGTAAGGACATGAGAATAAGTATCACACATTTAAAGAAAATAAGACAACTAGTCCACACTACTGTAAAACAAAATGTACAACTGCTAGAGATTGTCATAATAATGGTATACTAATTAATCTGCTTTATACATTGATTAATTTTGCTGACTGCCTTCCCAAGGGAGGAATCTTATTTTGGGAGTAGGGAATAAAAGGGATACACTGCTGAAGGGGCAGAGAACCTGGACCACTCCTGAAGGATGCACACAAAGGAGCTCAGGATCTAGTGTCATATAAACTAATCCTACTAGCTCAGCCCTTGCCTACCAGTATAAAACTCCCATAAAGTAATGGGAGTCCACACAATCTGCCAAGCCAGAAGAAGGAAAGCCCTTCTTTCAGATATGACAGATATATTTCAGAATTCCAAACCTCTAGGCTTGATTCCTTCAGCTAATATCTTTGAACTTAATATCTATAGCCCACATGGAGAACAAGAAGAACATCAAAGAACAAGAAGATAGCCAGTATAAAAATAGGCAGGACATTGTTCGGGAAGCAGTGGGTTTATGTTTATGGTGATGGGAAAATTGCCAACGATAGATGATGGTTGCACAACATGATTAATGTAATTGTTTTCGCTAAACTGTACACCTGAAAAATGCTAAATTAGCAAATGTTGTGATTCTTCTATTGCCATCAAGTCAATTTCAACTCATAACGACCCTACAGGACAGAGAAGAACTTGCCTCACAGAGTTTCCAAGTCTGTAATCTTTACTGGAGCAGATCTCCAGGTCTTTCTCCAGTGGAGTGGCTGGTGAGTTCTAATAGTGGACCTTTCAGTGAGCAGCTGAGCGCTTAACCATTGTGCCACGAGGGCTCCTTAATGTTGTCATATATATACATATATATATATACACACACACACACACACACTGCAGAATTGATGCCTTCGAATTAATGGTGTTGGTGAAGAATAGTGAATATACCACAGACTGCCAGAAGAACGAACAAATCTGTCTTGGAAGAAGTACAGCCAGAATGCTCTTTAGAAGAGAGGATGACGAGACCTCATCTCATGTGTTTTGGACATGTTATCAGGAGGGACCAGTCCCTGGAGAAGTACATCGTGCTTGGTAAAGTAGCGGGTCAGTGAAAGACAGGAAGACCCTCAACGAGATGGACTGACACAGTGACTGCAACAATGGGCTCAAACATACCGACGATTGTGAGGATGACGCAGGACCGGGCAGCATTTCATTCTGTTGTACACAGGGTCACTATGAGTTGGAACCAATTAGACAGCACCTAACAACGTGTGTGCGTGTGTGTGTGTGTGTGTGTGAGTATGTATACATATATATATATGTAGATTTTTTGTTCTGTATTTCTAAAAGTACATGCCCTTTTTATTTTAACCCTGCCAAGATGTATAAAACTGAAGTCTTAAATAGAAGACTATCCCCTCAATTGTAATGAAAAATATATTAATTTTTAATTATATATTCTATAAAAACAAGGAAAATTTCACTTCTGTTAAGTATTTTATAATGGAAAATTTTAAACATATACAAAAGTAGAGAGAATCATATAATGAACCCCACATATCCAGCGCCCTGCTTCAATAATTAACAATAACAGTTAATGTTTCTTTGTCACTACCCCCTAGCCCAACACCTACATACATGATGGATAATATTGAAACAAATCCCAGACATTCTATCATTCAACTGTAAATATTACAATATATATCTCTACAAGACAATACCATGATATAAATCTTTTAAAAAGTAATTATTCTATATTCTGTCAATACTGGAATTTCTTTAATGTCTTCGTTTTTTTTTTAAAGTTAGTTTGTTCAAATCAGGATCCAAAGTTCACCCACTACATTTGGTGTTATGTATCTTAAATCTCATTCCTCCTGCCCCTCCCACCCCCCTTTTTTCCTTTCCACCTTTTATCTTAGAAGAAGTAAGGTCATTTGTCTGTAGTTTTCCACATTTTAGATTCTGCTGATTACTCCCCTGTGGTCATTTAGCATATTGCTCCCCTCCCCCCACCCCCACCCAATGTATTTCCTGTAAACTGGTAGTTCTCTGTAGAAGCTTGATCAGATTCACATTCAAGTTCTTGGCAAGAATACTTGAAAGGTGGTGCTGTCTGATTCTATCACATGATATCAGGAGGCACATGAGGTCTGGGAGTCTTTTTTCAATATTGTTAAGATTGAGCAGGGGGCTAAGATGTTGTCATAATGCTATCCATTATAAAATTCTCCATCAGTCCTTGACCTAACAGTTTTAGTAGTCATTGATGACACCTGCCCAGAGCCATTATTTAAGAGTTGTTATTAAGCCATTATTAAGAATTCCAAAACACTGATATTCTAATTCTATCATTCTTCAGCATTTGTTAGCTAGAATTCCCTGTAAAGAACTTTCCTTCAAATCTCTGGTTATCCTGAGTCACAATTCATACATAAAGGCAAATTAAATGCTTGATTCCTTTTCGATTATTTACTGATTTTCAGAATAATAAATGGGCTTGCTAGTGTCGTCCAGAAGTGACCAGTGAGGTTTTTTTTTAGTATCATTGTGAATGCATATATTAACATATTTGATGTTTTTTCAGTCCATTGCCATTAGAACTCAATGGTGCTCTAAAATGCCCCATCTTTGGCCCCTGAAACCAGAAAAACCAAAACCATTGCCATCAAGTAGATTCCAACTCATAGCAATCCTACAGGATACAGTAAAACAGCCCCATAGGGTTTCCAAGGAGTGGCTGGTGGATTCAAACTGCTGACCTTTCGGTTAGCAGCCAAGCTCTTAACCACTACACAACTAGGAAGTCGTTAAAGTTGGTTCCAGGTCTTTTGGGCACAGCTCAAGTGCTCTTTGATAGCTTCCTTGCCTTCTGGGATGATAAGATGTTACAGGCTATTCTTGTACATTTCCAGCAAAAACCCAGAATCGGTCCTTTCTCCAAGGTACCCTAAGTGTCTGTAGTGGAAAGTGTACTTAGAGACTACAATCTGGACAATACGAGAGCTCACTGCTATTGGATTTCTCACTATGTCCAGGTCTTTCAGTGGATAGAGTTAGGAAATAGGTTGATTACCTAAAAATTTTTTATTTCAGAGAAAATTTTAAACATATTCAAAAGTAAATATGATGATGTAACAAACTCCTATGTACCCAGCATCCAGTTTTAATAAATACCAACTTACAATCAATCCTGTTTTGTCTATATCTCCATGCGCTCCCCACTGTTTTTGTTGTTGATAGTAGCCAGTCGACTCAGCTAGAACTCATAATGACCCCATGTACAACAGAACGAAACTTTGCCTGGTCCTGTGCCATTCCCGTGATCACTGCTATGCTGGAGTCCATAGTTTCAGTCACTGTGCATTTTGAGTGCCTTCCAACCTAGGGGCTCATCTTCCAGCACTATCTCAGATAATATTCTGCTGTAATCCACAGGGTTTTCATTGGCTAATTTTCA